CTGCTGCTTCTGCTTCTGCTGCTGCTGCTGCTGCTGCTGTTGCTGCTGCTGCTGCTGCTGCTGCTGCTGCAGGCCTACTGTTTGAGATTGGGGTATAAGGGGGGCCTCAAAGAGACTCCAGGCGGACGGTGTAGTGCTGCACAACTGCGTCTGCTCGCACCCCCACAAACCCTAAACCCTAAACCCTAAACCCTAAACCCCCACAAACCCTAAACCCTAAACCCTAAAGCCTGCTGCAGTAATTTTCTCTGTCCATATCGGTGGTTTGAGGGGTGCCTGCGCGCCCCCCTCTCTCCTCTCTCATCCCCGCTCTCCCAAGGGTTTAGGGTTTAGGGTTTGGGGTTAGGGTTTGGGGTTTAGGGTTTACCCAGTTCACTGAGAAAGCGAGGGGTCTCCACAGTCCCCAAGAAGAAAGGATTAGACACCGCGTCCGCATACAGACGATGCAGCCTCTTAAAAAACTGCAGCAGCAGCAGCAGCAGCAGCAGCAGCAGCAGCAGCAACCGCAGTAGCAGCAGCAGAATAAGCAACACCAGGAGCAGGAGGAGGACCGGCAGCAGCAGCAGTACAAGCAACACCAGTAGCAGTAGGAGCAGCAGCAGGAGCAACAGCAGCAGTAGTACCAGAAGCAGGAACCGTAGCAGCAGCAGCAGCAGCAGCAGCAGCAGCAGCAGTAGCAGCAGCTAATGTTGCTGCACCAGGAGCACTATAGCTAGGAGGCTTGACTGAGGCGCTTAATCTATCTCCGTGGGTGTTGGGAAGGTGGTCTGTGGAGCTAGCTAGCTAGCTAGCTAGCTAGCTGGCTAGTTAGCTAGCTAGCTAGCCGGCTATCTATCTATTTATCTAGCTAGCTATCCATCTAGCTAGCTAGCTAGCTATCCGGCTATCTATCTAGCTAGCTATCCATATATCTAGCTAGCTAGCCATCTATCTAGCTAGCTAGCTAGCTAGCTAGATAGATAGATGGATAGATAGCTGGCGAGTTGGTGGTTCAGCTAGCTGGACATCTGGCGGGCTCATTCACCCTGCTGCTGCTGCTGCTGCTGCTGCTGCTACAGCTGCTACTGCTGCTGCTGCTGCTACCGCTGTTTCTTCTGTTACAGTTACATCTTCTTCTGCTACGGCTGCTGCTGCTGCTGCTGCTTCTGTTGCTGCTGCTGCTGCTACTGCTGCTGCTTCTGTTTGCTATTACTGCTGCTGCTGCTGCCGCTGCTGTTGCTGCTGCACTTGCTGCTGCTGCTGCTGCAGCAGCAGCAGCAGCAGCAGGCTCACTGCTCTGAGTTCCTGTTCATGCAGGGCCCCCCTAACAACGAGAGCAACAATAATTTTGAGGCCGGTGGGAGCAGCATAAGCATAGAGAGAGAGGTCTGCTGCAGTACCCAAAGAAGGGCAGCAAAAACCCAGGTAACTGTCGCCCCCAGAGGGGCCCCCAGGGGCCCCCGGCTGCTGCTCGCTTGCTACTGTAATACACAATATACACACAGAAATATATATATATATATATATATATATATATATATATATATATATATATATATATATATATATAT